CACAGGACACCAGTTGTGGCTCCAGTTTCTTTTCACTGACTTGAGAAATGTATATTTATTGTGATTTCATGAAATAATAGACAATTTTGGCATAGTAGCAGGAATAAAATCATTTAAAAATCAACAAGCTGAGAAGCACAGGCCAGCACCTGTGTTCCCTGAACTTTTTGCCCCACTTCCCCATGTGTCTGTGTCACTGTGATATACATAGTTGTTCCAGGTCCCACAGAAATAGTCGGCCTCATCCTCAGGCTGCAGTCCAGAGATGTGCAGAACACCTGTATTGGCTGATGAGTCTTTGGATCCAGAGAAGCGACTGGGGACCCCGGATCCCTGGTGCTTGTCTGAATCTGTGTGGTAGTTCAGGAGATAGTGGGGAGGGCTCCCTGGCTTCTGCTGGTGCCAGTCTATTCTGTGTACACCAACACTGAAGCCATTGCTTAGGGTGCAGGTGAGTCTGACAGATGCTCCAGGAGATGCAGAGAGGGAGGGTGGCTGAGTCAGCACAGGCTGGGAGAGGGAACCTGCAGACACAGACATACTTAGGAGATGGGACAGGAGCCAGAGTGATGATTCTCAGGGGCCTCAGTCAGAAGAGACTTAGACTGAAGACTGAAGGTTATCCCTTGTACCCAAGCCTTATCCCTACCTGTGCACTGAGAGAGGAGCACGAGGAGGAAAGCAGTCCAGGCCATGGTGGACACAGCTCCTGGTCCCCACCTGAGCTGGGCTGCCCCAGGCTTGTCTTATCCTCCCTACTGTCTCCAGGGAAAATAGGGGTTGTTTATGCAAATGCTCCCCACCTCCTCATGTGGCTCTCAGATCCCAGCTGATCTCTGGTTCAGGAGGCTGAGGGTGGGGCTTGCTGTAGTGTGACCCCAGGAGGGAGGTGGAGGGAGCAGGACAGAGCATGCCAGAACCCTTCCCAGGAGCCTCTGCCAGGCCTTGAGAGCACCAGGCTGCTGGGTCTCAGCAGTGAGCCCAGGGTTCTCAGTCTCTGCCAGCCCTCAGGCCGGTGGGACCACCCAGTGTGAGGGCTCCCTGCAAAGCAGACACTTCCAGCACCCACCCCTTGCTGGCCACATTCCTTTGTTGGTGACTGAAGAAGTTACAAATGCCACAGAATTTATAATGGAGACTCCTGATACAGTGAGAAATTACTGAGATACTGACTGTCCTGTGACTATTAGGAAGTCGTCAAAACACAGTGGAGTGGGGCCATCCCACTACTGGGGCATTCTAGGAGCACCTCATAGGAGGTCTTTGAGCTGGGACTCACCTGTCTGTGTGTCCTCCTCCCCTGTTCTAGGGGCCTGGGCACTGACTGGGCTGACCCAGAGCCTCTCCTGGCCCTGACAGATGGCAGCTGCTGAGCCCAGAGCAAAGGACACAGGGACGGTCTCATGATGAGCAGTTTCCCAGCCCCTCCCTCTATCACCTGTACAGAGAGGGGGAGGAGGAAGAAGGAGGCCAGTCCAGGGCATGTGGTCCTCAGAGTCATCTTCCTAACTCCTCAGAGTGGGGTCTCAGCTCCTGCATCCTCTGATCCTCCCTCAATACTCCTGTGGGATGGACCTATTTTGTCTGAGTCTGTCCTGAACCCTGAGTGTCCCCAGCCCCATGGAGTCCTAAATGAACAGCAGATCACGTGGGGTACAGAGAAAGGTGGTGACTGTAGGAACAGTTGAAAGAAGATAACCTTCTCCTGGAGCTGTCATGGGAGCTAGACTTGGGGTGCACTGGACCAGGGACTGACCAGAAGCTGTCAGACCAAACTGGGCTCTGAGTCAGGCCAAGAACCAGGTCTGGGCATGGAGGGGTCAGCCACCTTCTTCTTGGGACATCATCTCCTTGGAGGGACCTTGAGGACTGACTTATGTCACTGAAGACAAGACTGACTTATGTCACTGAAGACAAGACCAGACTGAGAAGCTATTAGAAGTTTAAGAAAATGCTATTTTTTGTTTTGGTTTGTTTGTATTTTATAATTATCTATTTAATTTTATTCATTATCATCATTTTCTTTTTCAGTTTAACACAAAATGTTAACACAGAGTGAGAAAGAAAGAGAAAGTGAGAAAGCAAGCTGCCTGGTGCAAGACTCAAACCGTGTTTGGCCATGTGTGAGTCCAGTTTCTTAACCACAATGCCTCCTGCCAGCCCCTCTAATGGAACTTTTTAATGATAAAAAAAGAGAAGGCATATTTTTATTTACAGGTCCCAGGAAATCAGGTTCCAGACACAGAAGTGATAACAGGGGTCACCCCAGAGCTAGACTTGGTCCTGGAAAGGGCAGCAGAGACAGTACCAGGCAGAGAGGATGCAGAGGAGGTTTATGTCTCACTTCCCCATGTGTCTGGGCACCGTGTGATCATTTAAGCTGTCCCGCCATGTAACACAGTAATAATCAGCCTCATCCTCAGGCTGCAGCCCCGAGATGTGCAGAACACCTGTACTGGCTGAGACATCTTTGGAGGCAGAGAAGTGGCTGGGGACCCCAGGGCCCTGGTGCTTGTTTGAGTCTGACTTGAACCTCAGGAGATACTGTAGGGGGTTCACTGGCCTCTGCTGGTACCAGCTCATGTTGTTGTTAATAAGTCCAAAGTTGCTGCTCAGG